TTAACTTACTGTTTTGTTTTTACATTTGCCTGTCATTTCTCTTACCTTTTTATACACGTTGAAGTCGTCGTATTTACTTTGTAGCATTTCGATTTCTTGGCATTTTTTCTCCAGTTCTTTCTGTTTGGCTTCTCTGATCTTTCTCTATATATCTCGTTGTAATGTTTTATACATAGAGTTTTTCATTCTTTCTTCCATCAGCTGCAGAATCTCTGTCGTTATCCATCTTGCCTTCTTCGTTCTTCTTAATTGTCTGTAATGTCGTCTATCTATCGTCTTATTAAGGGATTCTATATTATCTTTTGCGTTTTACGTTGTATTATCGATTTCTTTGAATTTTCTATTTCTTTTACTTCACTACATTTCAGTTTTCTCATGTCATGTTTTTTTACAGTTTTCCGCGTGATTTCTTTAACTTGGGACTATATACGCCCACTAAAGGATTATGGGCAGATTGAATATCAGCGCCTGGGTAGGTTTTAACACCGTTGAAACTATGTCGATAGCTTTTGTTAATAAGTATATAGTCTAACGTTTTCTCCTTTGTCTCTAGGTGATTTCCACGTATATAGGCGTCTAGGTGGTAGTTTGTAAAATGTGTTTAACACGATTAAGTCATATTCAGCTGCAAAGGTACTCATTGTTTCTCCTCGTTGATTTCTCTCCTAATCCATAAGGACCAATATATTGCGCTTCTTTTCCGTTACCTATTTTAGCATTGAAATCTTCCATAACTATTAGAAATTCTGTGTTAGAAAGAAATGTTAGTGTTCATCGGGGTCTTATTTATTTATAACAAGAGGATTCTATCGTTCACTGGTATGAAGTTGTTGACATGTTTGGCTATACTTTTATATGTGATGATTCCGACTCCATTTTCATATTTACCATTTTCTGATCCTGAATAGTATACTCTGTATTCTTCTATGTCACAATAATTTGAATCAGGCCACCGCATTTCGCTTGTGCCCATTGTTGCTATTTTCATGCGTTCCATTTCTTTGATTGCGCTTTGGATTTTTTCTGATTGAGCCATAGTCTTAACGTTCCAAGTAGATATTCTCTTCAGACAATTCGTGTGAATTTTTCTTCTAGGTGTTTTATTGGGCATTTCACAGGGATTTTGCACGATGCCCATGATCAGTAAGCGAGTTTGTGTTCTGTTGTACTAGAGATACTTATATATTCTTATGCCGTTGACCAAAGCACTGATTCTTCCGCCTTTGGGGCCGGTTTCTCAGTCCCAGGACAAAAAAGTGCCCTACCACCTACCAACTCGTCCGCACGAAGCCGTTGATCAGCAAGTGGAGGATTGCTTACACCGGCAATCATTCGGTGAATTACCTGTTGGTCCACGGGAGATATTTTATTTCCCTCCTTCTTCTTCTTCTTCAAGTTCCACTCCTATCGGAGATTGGAAATCATTCTGGCAATTATAATTTTATTGGTTACTCGCCTGAATAGTTCAATTGAACTGCATCCAAACCACTCACGGAGATTGCGTAGCCACGAGATTTTACGTCTTCCTACGCTTCTTCTACCTTTGATTTTACCCTGCATTATATTCCTTAGTAGTTCGTACTTTTCACCTCTCATGATGTGCCCCAAGTATTCCAATTTCCTGATCTTTATGGAATTTAAAACTTCGCATTGTTTTCCTAGTTGTTCGAGAACTTGTTCGTTTGTTTTGCGATCCATCCATGATATTTTCAAAATGCGTCGGTAACACCACATTTCGAATGCTTCTAGGTTTTTAATGTTGGATTTTTTAAGTGTCCAAGCTTCAACTCCATACAAAAGGGTAGAGAAAATATAACATCGAAGCATTCTTATCCGGAGCGATATATTGATATCGCGATTACAAAAAAGTTTTCTCATTCTATTAAAAGTTGACCGCGCAATTTCAATGCGGCATCTTATTTCTTTTGTCTGATCAGTATCTTCTGTGATCCATGCTCCAAGGTATTTGTACGAAGATATTTGTTCAATTTCTGTATTGTCTAGTACTAGCTTAACTTTGATGTTTTGTGCTTTTGTAAATACCATGAACTTTGTTTTCTTCAAATTGATTTTTAGTCCATAATCGTTGCAATATATATTTAGTTGTTCAGCAAGGTGTTGCAGTTCTTCTAGTGTTCCTGCCAAAAGGGACGGTGTCGTCAGATCTCTGATCTCGGCAAGCGCTAATTCTGAGATGGCTTCACTGTATAAATTGAATAACAAGGGTGATAAAATACACCCTTGGCGGACCCCACGGCGAATCTGGATATCCTTGGTCAGTTCGTTTTCAACTTTCACTTTTGCTGTTTGATTCCAATAGAGGTTACAGATGATTCTAATGTCTCTACTGTCTATGTTTTTATTTAATAAAATTTCTTTAAGTCGATTATGTTGCACTCTGTCAAATGCCTTCTCAAAATCAATGAAACAGGCATATACTTCCTGATTAATATCTAAGCATCTCTGCGAAAGAACACTTATTGCAAACAGTGCATCTCGTGTTCCCAGTCCTTTCCTAAATCCCATTTGTGTATTACTTATGCCTTCATCTAATTTCTTATGTATTCTATTGTGAATTACTTTTAAAAACAATTTCAAGACATGACTCATTAAGGCTATGGTGCGATGTTCATTGCACTCCTTTGCATTGGCTTTTTTGGGAAGCAGTATGAATGTTGATTGGAGCCATTCTTTAGGTATTATACCTGTTCTATATATGGTATTGAATAGATCCAAAAGAAGATCAATAGATTCAGTATTCACAATTTTAAGTAATTCGATAGGAACTTCATCAGGCCCGGGAGATTTACCATCTTTAGCTTGTTTCATTGCATATTCAATTTCTTCTCGTATAATGTCAGGCCCAGTATCATCCTTAAATTCTTTTGGTGCTTCTGTTCTCTCTTTGTCTTCAAATAGTTGTGCTATATATTGTGTCCATCTCTGCATTTTTTGGTTTATATCTGTTATAAGTGCACCCCTTTCATCTCTTAGTTGCCTAGTTTGAAGTGTTTTTCTCATTCCTGTTAATTCTCTAATTCTTTTATGCATGTTAAAAAAGTCATATTTTTTCTCAATTTCTTCTAGTTCTTGGCACTGCTCATGTAACATTCTCTCCTTAGCTTCTTTTATTCTCTTTTTTATTAATCGATCAGTTTCATTATATTTAATTGGATTTTTTGTTTTGAATGATTTTCTTTCATTCATTAATAGTAGTATTTCTTCAGTCATCCAATCTTTATGTTTTCTATTCTTTGGTTTTAAGTTTTCATTTGCTGTTTTAATTATTGCTGCTTTTATATTTTCCCATTTCTGATCAATGTTATAGCTACTTTTATTCAGTTCTTGGGCATTACGTATATTTTCAGTAAGAGTTTTTACAGTTTGTTCCTTTGTTTGTGGTTCCCTTAATCTCTTAATATCAATTCTACTTTGTGTGGGTTTTTTAACCAGTTTTAATTTGGTTCGTAATGTGACTACTATGGGGTTATGGTCTGAACCGATGTCTGCTCCAGGGTAAGTTTTGGCAGACAGTATAGAATTACGAAATCTTTGTCTAATAAGGACAAAGTCAATTTGATTTCGGATTATTCTATTCGTTGTATCACCGGGAGATTTCCATGTATACAACCTTCTTTTTGGTAGCTTAAAAAGTGTATTAGCTATTACAAATTCTTCCGTCTGGCAAAATTGTATCAAACGGTCACCACGTTCATTTCTATTTCCTAGACCATATTCCCCCACATATCCATCCACTCTTCCCTGGCCAACTTTGGCATTGAAGTCGCCCATTACTATTGTAGTGTGATGTTTTTTCATTGATTTTAAGACTTGTTCCAAATCATGGTAAAACAGTTCGATATCGTCGTCATCTTTATCTGCCGTAGGAGCATAAACTTGAATAAAATTTACTATACCTTTTTTAGACTGTAGTTGTATTGATAAGATCCTATCAGAATAAGGAGTAAAACTTATCACAGAGTAATTGACCTTTTTTGCAACTAAGATAGCAACACCGTAACGATGATTGACCTCGTTGTTACCTGAATAATACATGGTTCCATTATTTGTAATTTGTTTGCCTGAACCTGGCCACTGTACGTCACTTATACCTAAAACATCAATTTGGAGGTTTTCCATTTCAAGCAGTACGTTCGCTAATTTACCACTTGCATATAAACTTCTGACATTCCAGGTTGCTATTTTCAATGTCTTAAGTCCACAGGGATTTCTCTGGTTTACGACCTGGGAGGCCCTGTGATCTACAGTTATTCCTCCCCTGCCGGATCTTGGATTCCGTGCTCCATAATCAGTAAGTTTGTTTACTCTACTTGTCATTTGCCATTCATGACTTTACTAGGGGTACTCTAAGAGTCTTTAATGCAGTGGTTCCCCGTTGCCTTCTGCATCCTTACACCGTTGACATATTTTTCGATTCATCCGCCTTTAGGACCAGTTTCCCAACCCTTGGACAAAAGAGTGCCCTTCCACTTATTAACTCATCCGCCCGCAGCCGTTGGTCATAAGTGGGGGATTGCTTATACCGGCAATCATTCGGTAAATTACCTGTTGGTCCACGGGAGGTATTTTATTTCCCTCCTACCCACAGGTAAACCAGGTCGGGCATTCCCCTATCCGCCACCTGTGGACGCGCTCTCTAGGGAGTTACAAATTCTCCCGAGAGTACCTGTAACTTCTGTCTTTTCAATAATAGAGCACTGTTAGTATGACAATTAATGACAAAAAGCCCAATCAAATAAATACGTATTGTGTGCACAATTTCACAGCCGTGGAAACGTCGGTACTGTTTATTTTGACGAATACCGTACCTAAAGTATACATATTTTGGTACCGCCATTAAATTTCTTTATGTGTTTGATTTAATAGTATGCATAATTTTATTACAAACTTCAACTGTAGTGTTCGAAGTAGTAGGTTATTCTGTAACGTATAAATAATTTGGCTTACTTAATACAATTAACATATATGATTTATTTTAGGTTATCTTTGGAAGAATCTGTTAAGGACTTCAATAAACAAGTCAATACTATGAAAGTGGATCCAAATTTTGTAGGAGCTAAATTTGGAGACATTGATCTATCTTTTTTAATGAGCAACTTGTACCCAGAAAAAGACGTTCAAGATTGTGATGAAATATGGACATTGGAATCGCTATATAAGGATCTTTCCAGAGAAAGGGAAAAAAATTGATACATATAATTTCCTTTTTGTCTCTATTTTAGATATCACTGAACTATATCCAATGTAATTTAATTGCACAAATGATTGCATTTATAGAATATTAGTTCGTTAAAGTCAATCAATGTCTTTGCACATTTGAATCTCATGAAATAAATTATTCACATTTTCTTACCGTATGATTCTGGGGTGGTGGTGAATATGTGGTTGTGAGCCAGTCTTGAAGTTTTGCCCTAGATTCATATACACGATTAAAGAAGCGTATCAGATATTTGGTTGCAGAAGGACTTAAGTTTTCAGATATCGTTGCCTCTTCACAAGGTGCCTTTTGTTTCAGTTATACCCAGTGTTACCTCGGAGGGGAGAATTGAGAAGTCATATTATATATCAACTTGTGGACAAAATTTGTTTTTCTTTATCAGCATCTAACTCTATTTCATTGCTTTCATTTATTGTTGGCAGGTGTTTAGGTTTCCACAGATCATGCATTATTATGTAATATATTAATATTGTTTGGGTTTCCACAGACCATAGTACTGTTATGTATGTATATTATCTAATATACATGATAGGTTGAATTGAGCGATAACGATTAAGTCGAATTGCAATTTACGTAAATCGGGTTGCAATTTACAAGACAATTGTTTATAATAACAATACAAACCGAAGCTATTTTGACATGAACAGCTTTGTAAAATCTAATATTCTAAATCTAAAACCGTTATTTTTTATTCCTCTGATTCAACTGGATTCAGATAGTCAGGTTCTTCAATGCCTTGCTCAGGTGTTTATATCAGCGTAAAAACTATCAGTTCTTGTGTGTTATCCCGAACTACCTCTGAATATTATCTGATAAGATCGATTACTTCTTTAATCGTGTCATGAACTGGATCACCTTCAACTTGAAATGTCTTGTATTCATAGGAAAACTAGTTTTTACTTTAAGGGAGCCGCGAGGTAGCAGAATGATTGCCTTATGCATTGTAAATTAATAGCATCACTTTAAATGATATTTAAGGCTGAACACTATGTGTGTATCTGTATGTGTGTATATATGTGTGTGTGTAGAAAGAAATCGAGTTCAAAAACATAAGTCGGTTGAAGTCGTTTTTTATCTATTTTATTGAAATGTATTATAGTTAAGTGTGAATAATCAGCATTATTTATTTATAATAAACATCAAAATTGTTCACATGTTACTGAAACTATATTTTTAAATTAGAAAATTGGTTATTGACAAATAAATAATAGAAAATGTGATGTTTATTTTTTTTTATTGGAAACAGCTTTCTTGTTGGAAGCATATCGATCTATGGACGGAGTGGTGGATAGTACAGAGATGTGAAAAAATAAAAAACCGACAGTAATAACTGTAACGACAGATCGCGCGACCACAGAATACGTGGAGTAGAAAACGCAGACGTGTTTATTAATAAAATAAAACAAAATAAAATCGAATTAATGGAAACAAATCTAATCGATTGGAATATCATGGCATTTACACTCCTAGCGTAGTGATTGCCACCCTCTTTGGGCTCTTCTGATTAATTTTTCGCGGTAATTAGCCACTTAACATGTTGATTTTACAATTGGTTGGGTGACTTGGTGTCTTCTACAATATTTCTCCATTCTTTTCTGTTTTTTGCTTATGGTTTTCCTATCTCTAACTCCCATCTTCTTAAGTTACTACTAGTATTAAGTTTCTACCAATATTTATTACTAGTTTATAAATTATTTAAAGAAATTGTCCCATGGCACTATTAAAATGTTAAAATCAAACACACAGTTCATTTATATACACAGAGAATGCACAAAAAAGGCATCCCTATCTCTATTTATCAAATTCTCGCTGTAGGAATATTTTTCTTATTGTGCCATTGTCTAACAAAGGTTGGCGATCACTTCTTTAAACGTTTACAGACATTTTTACTATTAATGCTCTAAAAGAGGTAAATTTAAAATTTAGAATATATAATTTTGTATTAAAATGTTTTATGTATTTAAGTGTGTTGTAGTAGGCTTAAAACTAAGTGTATTTACTATTAATGTAATAGTTTGACAAATAGTTGACATTTTAAAAATTCTTCACTTACTATTCTAATGTTTTGGCAATGCTGTGGGTTCTGACGTCGTAAATCTTGAATGACTTGCAATCATTTTTATATGAAAAATTCTATAGCTTCCCAGTTGTCTAAAATTCTTACAATGCAGGCATGACGACTAAGCCAATGTGTTGAAGATAAATAAAAATTTTTTGTTGTTTCCAATTGCATAAACTCTTTCAATTTCTTATAGGATGACACATCGTTTTGCGCTTCCAGAAATATACGTTGATATACTACTAATTAAATTTTCTACTGAAGATGGTAGTTCTGCACACCCACTGCTGGCAACAAGAGCTGAGGAATGGCAAAGGCAGCACATTAATATGACATCTGGAATTTCACGTTTTAAATGCGAAAAAAAGAATTGTTTTTTCCTATCATCACATTTGCTCCATCCAAAGCCACACCAACTATATTTGTGATAGGTATTTCATATTTAAAACAGTTTTTAAAATCGTTAAACAGTTGAACCGCACTACAATCAGCAGCATTAAGTTGGACCAGCTCTAGAAGTTGTGTCACTACTTTAGATTGTTTTGTGTATCGAACTAAAATGCACATGAATTTTTTTGCACTAATGTCTGTGGTCTCATCAACAAGCACCAAAAAAGACGCATCACATAAATTCCTGACAAGTAGGTAAATTTGTTTCGAAATTTCCAACTACATTATTTATTATTTCTGTACATTTTGTCCTTCCTAGTTGTACATCTTGGCAGACTTTTGAGTCTGGAAAAATATCTGCAAATAGTGGCGTCAAGTGATCAACTATATGAGTAGCCATGTTATGTTCAGCAAAAAATACACTTAATCTTATTTCGGCACCTTTCACGTCATTTTGGTGTCTTAAAGAAGTATTACCAGTGACAAAAACGAGGAAATACTTGAACTAGATTTAATAGCAGTCATATTTTTTAAATGTTTCTTACCTGCAGCATGTTTTTGCAGTTCACTTTTGCCACATAAAATTTCTGCATTACACACTTTGCACATACATTTTTTATTATTGTGTGGCATAGCCTTCAGCCACATTTTAAAAGAAGGATCTTCTAACCACTTAAAATTAAATGTTTTTTCTTTAGATTTGGTTATTTTAATTTTTTTTATTTGATGACTCTTATCAGCCTCACTATCACTAAATACATTACAGTAAAACCTCCGTTAACCGAAATAATTGGGGGGAGGCCGTTTCGGATAACAAGAATTTCGGTTAAAAATAACATTGTTTTTTTATAGATTCTTGATTAAAGTATTGGTATTAAAAAATACGATGAGGTGATTTTGTAATGTTTTCTATTGAGTAAATACAGAATAAAGTAATAATATTAAGGAAAATAAACAAGTTTAACATGTTTTTTAAAGAAATTTGTAGTTAAATAAAGATTTGTAGATATATAGCTGCAAACTAGTGACAACTATGTTTTGCAGCTATATATCTCCATCGCTCATTTGCAGAACGTTGTGAGTTTGCCTCATTCCATCGTTCGAACGAAACGTAAAGCAATCTGAAAAGGACAAAACGTTATGCAATGACAACAAAAATTAAGAACCTAGTCGTGTCCCTAACTACTACTCTATAAAATTCTTATCCTTAAGGCACTGAAAATCTCGTCGGTGGTCTCATGCTATCTGTTGGGTCGTCATCTTTGTCGTCTGATACGCTCAGGTTGTCTGGATAAAGAACCATATCAATGATGTCCTGGTCGATGAATTCACTTTCTGAGTCATCGGCTGCTAACTACTCACGTATCTCTTCTTGGTTAATTTCGTCACATACCGAAATTTTTTATTAAAGGTTTAATTTCTTCTTCAGGATCGTCAATCAAAATCCCATCAAAAAGTTAGTTCCACCATTTTTCCAAAGTTGTAGATTAGATCATGGCGCAGAACTCAGCACACCGATAAACAACATGTTTCATTATTAAAGATTTGAAAATTTTGGGAACACTTTTGGATTAATTCGTCTCCTGTAATAACAGATGTCTTAAGAATGCTCCTCTATAATGTCTCAATTACTCCATGGTCTGAATATTACCACTATTGTGTAGATTTTGAGGGTAAGTTGGCGCGTTGTCAACGAGCAACAATGCTTTGATGGGAAGATTTTTTTGTTTTACAAAGGATTTTACACTTGAGACGAATTAATTTTCGAACCATTCTGAAAATAAAGTGGTTGACTACCATGAGCTTTTTTGGCTTCTATAAAAACTAAAAGTGCTTTTTCTCAACTATCTTTTAGAGCTCTTGGTTTTTTTGATTTCCCAACACATGTCGGCATCAAATGGTGAGTGGAACTGTTTACGTTGGAAACTGTCCGCCGTTTCGGTTAAGGGAGGTTTTACTGTACTTTTATTATTGTCATTCATTTTATTTTTATATTTATACCCTGCTCTAAACTCAAATAATTATTAAGAAGTAACACTTTATACAGAAAGTACCAAATAAGACAATTTCAGTGGGTTTTCAACTTCTTACTTGAAACTTCATACTTGAAATTTTATTTAAGTTCCTAATAAATAATGACGAAATTATTGGGGATAAGTGCTTACATCCCCCTTCATTAAGTTTTATTATATTTGGGTTTGGGGAATAAGTGCCTATTTAGATCATAATACACTGCACCCCAAAATTAACGCATAATTTTAAAAACCCTGGTAAATTAAATAATTTTAATGTTTCGATTTTTGTGCTAATATATTATCGTTACCCCCGGTATATTGTAAAATTTATCGAAAGAACGGTAAAAAACGCTGATGTTTTTATCATTTTTTTGCAAAAAATTAAAAACATGCTAATTGTGCTTCATTTTATTTCGAATTTAGTTGGTTGGATTTCGTTGTGCTGAACGTTTAAAGGGGTTTTTCAAGTTTATTAAGTGTTTTTTCTTTGAATGAACCCTGCAGCAAGAAAATCGAAATTTGTCAGAAAGTGACTGTTTTAGAATCGTTACTCTTCGCGAAGAAGGATACACTCAAGTAGAACTCGCTGAACGTTTTAACGTCACCCAGTCAACAATTTCAAGAGTGTTAACACGTTTTTCTGTTACTGGAAGTAACTCGAGAAGACCCGGTCAAGGCCGTAAAAGGGTTACAACTCCTAATCAAGACCGGTTTTTGACACTTCGTACACTGAGACAAAGGTTTGTTTCCAGTACTTCTCTACAAAATGAATTTTTGGATCGTTATAACTTTAGAATCAGCCAAAATACAATTAGAAGAAGACTTGCCGAAAACGACCTACACCCTGGAAGGGCACCAATTGGCCCATTATTGACCAGAGACCATAGAAGGCAAAGATTGAATTTTGCTCGTGAACATGTTGATTGGAATAATGACGATTGGGGAAGAATATTGTTCACCGATGAATCCAGGTACTGTCTTTTTTCTGATGACAGGAGAAACCGAGTGTATAGAAGGCCTGGGGAACGCTACGCACAGTGTAACACCGTAGGGACTGTACAGTATGGCGGCGGCTCGGTAATGGTATGGGGTGGGATTAATTTAGAGGCTCGTACGGAATTAGTTAAAATAAATCACGGTCGGCTTACATCGCAGAGGTATATAACAGACATTTTAGAAGAGCATGTCGTGCCATTTGTACCATTTATTGGGGATAATTTCATGCTTATGCAAGATAATGCCAGGCCACACACGGCAAGAATTGTGCAGCAGTATCGTCAGGAGGTTGGAATTCCTGCCATGGATTGGCCTGCGAGAAGTCCTGACCTTAACCCAATAGAACATGTTTGGGACATCATAGGCAGACGACTACGACAACTACCTAATGCACCAAACACATTAGATGAACTGTTTTTGCGGTTGGTTGAAATTTGGGATCAAATTGATCAAGAAGAAATCAGAACGATTATTCTCAGTATGAGAGATCGATTGTCAAGCAGTAATAAATGCCAGAGGAGGCAATACTCGATACTAGTACACGGTAGTAGTATTTTCTTCAACTTTAAAAACTTTTTCTTCATTAATTTATGATGTTAGTTTGTTTAGATCAGTTCGTTTAGATGTTATGATTTATGTTAGGATGTTATATTGTTAATTTCAATACATTTTTTGTAAAAAAAGAATAGTTTTATTTAAGATGTTCTAAAACAACCATAAAGCAGAAAAGAACAAACAAAATTTTTTTCATTACAACTCAAAATAAGAATTTTAAAATTAGTGATCTGGTTGTGAAATAGATTACCCAACCATCATCTATTTTAATTTTTGTGTGCTTGAGATTTTTGACAGTTATGATTACCAAATGATGTTTTGTTATGATTAAGAATACTGAAATAGGAGAACATTAGGAACATTTCAATTACTACCAGGGGGTAAAGATATGTTTAATTCTCTTCAAATATTCTTTTAATTTTTTTTTTAATATTTTACAATTTGCACTGAAGTAAATATTCCCTTTTAAGTTAACTTTTAACCTTTTGTGTAAAAAATTCTTGCAAAAAGGAAATTTTCCTCCGGTTGACAACACTGTAATCAGCAGAGAAGTGTTATACTTTTAGCAGACAGTGAAAAATTATTAGGGGTCAAATCCAGATTAATTGGCTACATGAGCAATTATATTGAATTGTCTTATTGATCACTACAACCTTTCCTTATCTCCGTTTTATATATCATTTCTTGTTACTTCTCCATTTTCATTTCTCAAATATGAGTAGTATTTAAAATGGGTTTCTGTGCAACAGGTAATACTTGTTTTGAAAATAATCCAAATGAACAAATAAACTCATAAGTACCTTAAAAAAAATATATTTATAATTACTTTATAGGTTATTATAAAATCTATTACTAAAGTTTGAAGAAAATTCAAAATAAATACAAAATTTTTCACTTTACAAAGATTACTTTTCACTCATTCTACAGATACTATAGATAACTGTCTAGTGTTGATAAATCACTATTCCTTTGAACTTGTTCTACTTTTTTGATTCATTAATAATTTTAATAAGGGTACACATGGACAAGATTACAATTTTATTTTTTACACCGTTCTAGTCAAATAAATTTCAAATTTTGACTAGTCCTGTCTAAATATATTTACCAAACTTATTTCTTAAGGTTATTCAAATGATAGCTTAATTGGAATATTGGGCCAATAAACTGGACAGTCCTTTTCTAAACATCTCTCATAATTTAACTGTAAAGAAGTTTCCATTCCCATTATTTTTTCAGCCTTATCACCATAAATTTTTCTCAATTCCTCTAATCTATTTTTCATTTCAGGATCAGGTAAATTCGGAATTACTTCTTTCGAAATGTTCTTGTGATCCATCATATTTGTTCTACTGAAAAGTACTTCCTTCTCAATACTATTATCTGGTATGTGTGGTGTACTCATATCTCTATTTGTATAATCATGTGGTTCATCTATAAGTGTTGTATATACTCTGCGAATATGTTGTTTTAACATTTGGTTTTCCAACTGTAGACTTATTGCTTTAGATTTCCAATAGGAGATTTGATCTTGCCACTGCCATTCTACAACTTCTGGTGGCAAAGTCGAACAGGAGTTTGAGGAACCACAACTCTTCTTGTCAATAGTTTCTGGTGGTAAATGTAAAGTTGACTTTACACTATTATAGTTCATTTTATAAATATGATACCTCTCCTTTTTAAAACAGGCAACTTTCACTTTTTATTAGTGAGTGGCTTCTTTTATTTGTTTTTTCTATTTATTTTTCACAAGAAATTACTTATAACCTTAATTTACTTTTTCTTAATTCTTCTTCTTCTTGCTTTCCCAGGGGATAAATTCTTAATTCTTTTTGTATACCATCTTACTGCGATATAACAATTACTGCACAGCCACCTACTTCTTTGTTCTTGGTGGCTGTGAATTGTGATTTACTGAACTTCAATAAAGCGTTGCTAACTTCTTACTATTATGTCAATTTTGACAGGAATTTACCAATTATATGTTTATAAATTTATTTTTTTTTTTGTATGCTTAGATTATTAAATTTTAAACTGAAGATACCAAAAAGGCACGTTGGGTTAAGAATGATATTGTTCTTTTGTAAACATACTTAATTATTAAAAATTGACTGCAGTTCCTAAACTCATGAATGTAAGAGATAGTATCTAACTAAATATATTTTGAAATAATTGAGTTTAATGTTAATGTTTTTGTTTAAATATGACCAAATAACTACTGTTCTAGGAAAATAATGATATTCATTTGAGTAAAACCTTGTGTTGGATACTTCGTCATGAAGCTAAGAAATTAGGACTGCCAATACAAGTGAATGGTTACCTACCAGTGTCCTTAATCCTGAAACATCCCTCTTTAAGGAATTATTCTACAACAGATGTGGAAAGGGTGGTTGTTTCAAACGATAAACAGAGATTTAGTTTAAGAAACAATAATGGTGTACTAGAAATTTGTGCAAACCAAGGACATTCTATATCAGTAAGTCTATAAACATCAGATAGCTATAGATATGCGATAATGCTGTTCTGAACACTAGAAACTATTCCAACTTCAAAATCTTTATCATTCATGTGTAAAATGACCTATTTGTCTTAATCTCATTTTCTTTAATAAACTCATACTAGTCTCACATGCAAAAACATGAAATCATTTATAGACAAATCAGGAAAATGTATTTTAGTTTGATAAAATATTTAACTTCACTTAATTTTGGTAATTTCTTAGAGAGAACATATTAATCTAGTGCTCGTAAAGGTCTATCACCCATTATCAGCCCATAATTACAATTGTCATTTAACAAAATCCAAATTATATACAAAAAAGTAATTGTTAAAAAAGTAAAATAGCTATTTCATTATTGTCTGTGATACTGTATTAAATGGATCTAAACTCTGGGTATCTGAGTATCTGGATTAATTGTTAACTCAGGGTATCTTTGTTTCATATTCTACATGTTTGTGTAATGCAGTATAGTCTATAGTTAACAATGCTCATATGTGGATGTTCTGAAAATTGCAGGAGTTGTTGCTTATATTTCCAGATTGGTTTCACTTTAATCTTTTATTGTAGGATTATATTTGAGGGGATATGAAATGGATTGTTGGGATGTCTTATTTTGGTTGTTGTCCTCCAGCTGTTTCTCTCACCAACTTCTATATATTTATATGAAGAGTCTGTCAGTACGTATGAAATAAGATTTGGGTGTATCTTCAGGGAGTAGGTCTGCAGATATGTTGATAGCTGAAAATGCAATAACTTTCTGCTTAACAGTTTTTAATATGTTTTTTTAAGTTTAATTTATTATCAATTTTTATTCTGAGAAATTTTATATAGTTTTCTGGTTTTATAAACATATTAGATATAGTAACAGTGGGTGAAGCAACTTATTTTGTGATTAAACAGTAGGGACTGCCATTTGTTAGAGTTTGATGTTATCTATAATTTAAATCATATTTTCAATCTTGGTAATAATGATTAACATCCAGTCTCTAATCCAACTTCAGCCCCACTGCTTATCATTTCTTCTCTTTTCCACATAGCTTATCATCTCATCTCTTCAACAATATTTTTTAGAAATAAACTACACCCTTCACAGACTCCAAATTTTATTTTCTTGGTTGAGATATTACTATTGTGTAAATGATCACTACAAGTTGGAATTAAAAATAATATTTCACTGTATTAGCTTTCCAATGAAACTGGCATGCCAAAATATTCTGTTATGTTAAATTTAGTATAAAGCTTCACTGCAAACAGGACTGGCGTGGCTACCGGGGCCTGCAAATTAATGCATTATAGTCTAAAGGCATGTATAAACTTGCCTTTAGGCTATAATAGGTATTTTCGGGTTCTAAAATTTGTACTGTCACCAAACAGTTTTGAAACTGCGCCGACGACTTGCGTAGTAGTATAGATTTATAAATCATTTTAAAATGATCCTAGAACTGTTAGCATTTTGCCAAAACACGAACATGTATAGCGACTTAGCGACAATTAAATGACATAAAACAGCTGAATTGAATGACATAAAACAGCATTGTGAATGACAAATAACATGTTCGAAATATTTTATTTTCTGTGGTATGTTGTATGACAATAGAATAAATAGTATAAAAAATGAGAAATTGAAAAGAAAAAGTTAATTGACAGGGAGAATAGAACTACAATTCTTAGAGAGTATTTAGATATGATGAAAAAAAATAATGTTGATAATTTATAAAATGTTTATTACGTTTTGTTTTGTTTGTCCTAAATTTTTCTATGTTCTTGATATTTATACTTTCAGTTGTAAATTAGGGTCCTTTTACAGAGGTTCTGCTCCGCCTATTTAATAAAATTTGATATACTTCCTTTTTTTTGTTGTTGATCATGAATCTTGTCATTTTCTGTGGAAACGCTAAATATCCGAGATACAGCCTTTTTAAGTTGTATGGGAAAGGTCACCTCTCATAAAAAAGCTCTACCTCAGACACTAGGCATTCCATGGAAAATATGTCCAGATTTGTGTTCAAACAACCTGAAAACCTTAAGTATACAAAGTTTTATCAAAATCGGAGTGAATAAGAGCTTCTGTAAAAATCCGAAATTGGTAAAAGCTAGAAATTTAGTACTTGAAGTGCTGAAACACAAACCAACCACACTATTTAATGCATAAAGTTGTTACCCAGTAAAAAGCCACTCACACAACCAAATTAGGTTTAATACCCTACAACTTTTACTTTGTATTAAGAAGCATCATTAACGTTATTTTATCCTTCATTTTAATCGTTCGTTTTAATACAAGGCTATAGTTTTATAGTTCCACTCAATTATTTGGGAACTTACTTGTGGTCAAAGCTTTAATTATTTTATCAGTAACTTGTTTTCTCAATTCAACATACTCTACTGTGAACAGTTTTATATTTTAACTCGATACATAAATTCTGTGCCAGGACTGATCACTTCCTCATAGGTATAGTTTTTTACTAAACCTAACCTGTTGTAGATTTATGGGAAATTATTAGTAAATTTTAAATATGATTCTAATATCACTTTTATATGACTTTCCTTGAAAAAGTTAAAATGCTATTAAAATATAATGAATATTAAGGTAGTGTCCCATATTTTTATGTCTTTGTAAAAAAAATTGTAAGTGAATAAATTAGTAAAATTAAACAGGTAATATTTATAAAAGTTTAGCCAATATTCTATCAATTCTTTAATTTTCTCGTAATTGTAAAATAAACATTTTTTATCACAGTTTTCAATTTAAAAGATTTATACAAAATTTTCTCTAGTACAGAAAAAGTTCATTCTCTGAAATTATTTATTTATATTATTCTATTATGCTGCCTGTATATGAAATTTAATTAGGTATGTATAAATTAAATTCTGACTCTGATTCCAACAGTACATTTATTATTGAGTCCATTTTTAATAAAAAGCACTCGAAAATCACTGAAATTACTATTAATTAATGCAAACGACTACTACCTATCAATCAACAACAAGCACAAAATCATTCTTTATACTGTGTCATAACTGTCAATTTTGAAACGAACCGCGCACGCCTCAAAAAATCCTGAAATAATCAAGACCTTTTAACAAAAACCGAATTGATAGTTTTAAAACTGTCCACAAACAGCATCAGATTTTAACTCGAACACCAAACTTCGATTCTGAACAGTTTTAAGATGATCCGAAATAAACCCGAACATTTATATTTCTTCTGCGCAAACTCCTGACGGTTGTTAAACAGTCAGTGCAAAAACCCGAAAACACTAATGTAAGTAAAGAAGTAGTCAAAATTATTTTTTTCCGATACCATTTGTTTGGTTTAAATACAGGATTCCTGACAGAAGAAAAACTAACTATCAAACAATTAATATTTTTGTCATTGAGAACAATCTTGTGTTGAAGGCTGGTGACAAGCTAGAATCTTGAATGACCTGGAGATCTTTGGTCTCGGCTAAAGCCTCCAAATCTTCTCCGTTATGTCCATTCTCTCAATGGTCCCATCTAGTGGCTTGATAGTTAAAGTCTGTCATCATAATGTTATATTTTTGGTTCCTAGAAAACAAAGTTTAAATTTTGTGGTTTCTTTACTGAATGATAAAAATTTTAATGTCGTTTTAGCAAGATAAAGAAGTTGATGGAACATCCATTCATATTTTAACAAATATTGCATTCCCACAGTGTTCACTCAGTGTTTCTAAGACTAGTTTTATATTGTTTTCTTTGGTCTACATCAGCATTTCCCAAACTTATTTTTGTGCTTATCCTTTGCACCCATTAATTTTTTACATACCCTGGTGTATGTGTGTACAAGAAAACATATTTAAATATTTATTATAGTTTTATATATTTTAGTAAAGAATCATTAGCTCAAAACAAAAATGTAACAAAACAAAATAAAAATCAAATACTTTATATTAATGAGAAGTATGCAGTTGTTCCTGATTAACTAAAATCTTCATGTTTGAAGGAAAATATGTTAATTTTATTCTCAGGTCCGGTTCAACTTATAAACCGTTCCTGTATTTATTTTTGAGGAAAACCAATGTTGAATCCCTGTCTCACACTTATAGGTTGTAACAAAAGGATTTAAAAACTTTATCTCTTTTTCTGCTAAAACTGGATACTCCTGGCAAGACAGCCAAAAATCTATCAGTGGCATTTTGTCAGATATGTCTTTGAGTGCCTTGTCACACGATAGTTCAATTGCTGACCCAATATCTAAATTCGGAAGTCCTGTCTCGGATTCTACATCCATTGTCAATGGATTCCTTATCCATGCTTTGTTGCTGTAGATGGGGGGAAAATATTCCTTAATGTCATATTTAAATTGTTCAAGAACTCAAAAATATCACAAAGATAGGCTACCTTGATTAACCAATTGTCATCATGAAAACTGTTGAAATATTGCATCCCTAGCCGTTTGTGGATGTTGTTCTAAGAATATTGAAATTTTTTCCTTCAATGCAATAAGTATTTTTAAAACATTCCTTTTTGATAGCCGACGCACTTCGTCGTGTGAAAGAAGATGTTTATGTTCACCTCCCATGTTTTTTGAACAAAGCAGAGAATTCTCGTTCAGTGGGCGAGATTTTATGAAGTTTATAAATTTTACACACTCTTGCATCTATTCGGTTAAAAGCAGTGGCATTTTTTACAGCCAATGCCTCTTTATGGATGCTACAATGCACCCAAACACATTCTGGTGCTATGACTTTAATCATCAGAAAAAGCCCAGTATGAGCGCCTGCCATTGCCTGTGCTCCATCGTTCTTAGTTTATTTATTCCATTCAATTCCATTGTCAAAAATGTAGCTATCAATCAGATTAAACATTTCTTCAGCCGTTGTTGTTGCTAACAGAGATTTACAAAATAGATCTTGGCAGCCGTAGCTTAGTGGCTATGTTACTGGCTTAACAAGCTGGAGGGCCCGGGTTCAAATCCCGGCACCGACAAAAATTTAAAAATTTCTAATTTAACTGAGCTGCCACCGTGCTTCGGAAGGCACGTTAAGCCGTCGGTCCCGGCTACGAAAGTAGTCGTTAAGTCATGTGAGGGGCGCTTGCGCGACCTGAAAACCCTAACACTAGACCTTAGCCAGAAGGTTACACGAACTTTACTTTTTACAAAATAGAAATTTTTTCTGAATAGTATTTTAAAAATTGTATCTTAGAAAACACATTAGATTAGCATTATCTTATATGTCTGTACTTTCATCAATTTGCAAGGAAAAATAGTTATATTGCTTTAACTGACCTATAATAGTTTCTTCCATATTATCTGTCATCTATTAGTAGTACTAGTATAATATCCGAGATGCTACTATTTTCATTGCTGGACCTATTAATTTCCCGGCAATTGTGTGAGGATAACCGGTTTCAGCAATTAATTTTGATATTTCATAAGAAGCCAGTACAAGGTTTTCAGATTGAGCGTCCCGAGAAAAATTCAAAGATGTAGACTTTTTGGTAGCTATTAATTCTCTTTTTATTTATAAAAAAATCTATTGACTTACCACTGTTTTCCTGGTGCTTCAATTCCAAGTGCCTCTTCAATTTTGAAGGTTTCATGGACTCATTTGAAAAAGCAGCGTATAAAATAACACATAATGGTTTGTCATCAGTAGCCTTTACAAAACTGAACTGTAAGTAATCTTCAGAATATTGTCTGGTCCAGGACTCCTTCTTCCCTTTTTGAAAGTTGTAGACTGCGCATCGATACTAAGCTTAAACTGAATGGAATAAAAAAGCAGATTAAATAAAAGCGGTGGCTTTAGCCAGAGCGCGGCCTTAAAAAGCAAGATGTAAAACGGAGTGGCGAGGCGACCCGGCATTTTGCTTTGTGGCCCGGTACCGGGTCGCGACCCACCATTTGGGAAACGCTGGTCTACATCCTGTGGTTCCTTACAAAGTTTGCTGGATCAGTAGAATGTTACATTTCTTTATTGAATTCATTCATTATTGAATTTACGATAATGTCAAATACTATATTCTGTCATTTCGACACGTGGAGATAAGTTTAGATTTTTTCACATTTACCCAACAATTCCCAATATCAAAGTTGATTAGTTTGTTTCATCAGTTCAGTGGAGTGTAATCGATTATTCTCATGGTCTGTATTGTATGAGGGTTGTCTTTTTTGTTTTGCGTATAGCCATAAAGACAAAAAATGTATAGACTTAAAGTAGTTTATGGGTTTTCAAAATATGTCCCACCAAGACTGACACACTTTTGCATATGTTCAAACCAATTGGTAAAACAGTTATTTCAGTGTTTAGTTGACACCTGCAAAAGCTTTGTTTTAAAGGCATCGATGGCTTCTTCCGGAAACTGGAATCACTGCCCACGCATTGAATTCTTGATCTTTGGGAATGTGAAGAAATCGTTAGAACTTAGGTCGGGGCTATACAGTACATAATTTAACAATTCGATGTTTTGAACCTCCAAAAACTCTTGTCTTTTGGCAGTGTGAGCACTTGCATTGTCCTGATGTAAGATGATTCACCATTCTATGTTGCTTTTGACACACTTCGAGAACGGATCACTTTTGTTGATTTTTCCTCATTGTGAAATACCCACACAGCGATTGGCGTTTATTTTCCGGTTTTTAGTAGTAAATCCAAGATTCATTGCCACTAATACTATAAATGATTTTTAGCTTCCTTTCTTGAACCGTTCCAATGTTTTTTGCTCTGCGAAAATGCGGTTAAATTTTTTGACTGACTTGCTTATATCAAAAATTCGCAAAATATCGCAATGAGACTCTTGATTTATGTCAACAAAAGATTGACGTTACATTTGTATTGAAAGATTTTATTGGTGGCGCCCTCTAAGCAGCTATATGCAAAACTAAAAAGACAAATCTCGTATAGCCACTTGAAGAAAAGAAAAATAAACATGCTGCACTTGGTTCATGAAAGTAATGTTTTAGCATTTTCATAAAATCATATGAAACATTTTTTTTAATATTAGTGCCGAATTTGTATTTTAGTATATTTTCATCTTTTAGGTAGTGGATAATTCTAACTTAATACCTTTAAGTGGTGATGAAAATATTGACGTAATCCATGGAACATTTTATAAAAATTGGGAAAGTATCAAAATTGAAGGCCTAAGCAGGGGTAAAAGAAACCATATACATTTTGCACTAGGTTTACCCAGTGATAAAAGTGTCATAAGTGGTGTTAGAAAAAATTGCCAAGTTTTTATTTATATTAATCTCAAATTAGCTACAAGTGATAATTTGAAATTTTACAGATCTGCTAATGGTGTAATTTTGAGCCCGGGAAATGAAAATGGTTTTATTTTGCCAAAATATTTCATTAAAGTTCTGGATAGATCTTTAATAAATCTGACTTAAATCAGAATAAGGTAAGATACCATGTACAGTTGAGTCCATGATTCTTTATCCGTGTGTCATCATTTAAAGCGTACGAAATAAGTCGGAAATTTACTCCACGCAACAGTAACTGACATTAAGTGGCTATCAATTAAATAGAATATAAAATGTTAGTTTTGCTTTAAAATTTTGGTGCAAAATTACAGCTACATTTGAATAAGCTAAATCAAGTATTTTAATAACATTAGTAATTAATAGATAAATCAACAATTTATAAAAAAAATATAATTAAATAAACAATAATATTTAATATTTACAGTGTGTTGATATAATAGGTAACAGTAAAATTCTTTAAAGAATGAGACATTATTTAGCTCAAATAATATTTTTGCAAGATTTTGAACATGTTTTTCGTTTCTCATATTTCATTTTCATCACCTTTAGAATCTGAACTGCTCCAATGTTAATTATTACAGGTTCGATATAAATATTACACATATTTTCTTGTCTAATAAACCACTGTACATTCTAGTGGAATTAATTTATAATAAAATAATTCAATCCTAGAAAAAATAATGAAATAACGACGCCGCTGGATTGTGGAATTCTCTAGCAGTTCACGGTGTTAAATTTTGTTTTCGAAAGTGATTCATCTTTAATATATTGTTGGCCCATAGTGCAATTAACACTTAACTTACTAGATAGTGTTGTAGTGACATTGCCATTTCTATAGATTAGAATAGACATCCGTGTGCGTTACAAGATTTATCGGTTGTATATTTATTTATTTGGTTTCCAACATGTATAAAAATTTAAGGCAAAAATCGTTTCCAAATCCTAAAATATAGAATTTGTTACATATATTTATTAACACAACTTTTATTCTTGCTAACTTTATTTTTTGATCTTTAGATTTTTTAGAAGACAGGCGTTACGAATATTATCTTCAACATACAGTAAATCCTATTTTTTTTTTCAATATGCAGAAAACCCAGAAAACAATGTCAAATGCCATCGACAATTTGATACCAGAAGTGAGTAACACTAAACCATTTTGTTGTCTGGTATGTAAAATAACTCTTCATACAAGAGCAGCTCTTCAACAACACTTACTCAGCTTCGAACATAATCAAGTGTTGAAGTCTAATAAGATGAAACCATACGTAATTGGTCAGCTTAGCGGGGTATTTGTAACAGGTATGGTGATTTTTATTTTTATTCAAAAAATAGACAAAACAAATGCCATATACCTACTCATTAGCACTAGTCAACTTTGGTTGAACGATTTATTACATTAATACCTGCCATCTGACATCCTTTTGTCAAAAAATATAAAAAGTCACATCACAAAAGTTATTTATACATAGAGACCATGGCAGCACATTTAACTGCTAGATATTTTGCAATATCTCTGTCTCTCTCTCTTTCTCTCTCTCTCTCTTTCTCTCTCTCTCTCTCTCTCTCTCTCTTTGTCAACCATTTTCCATCCACTCCTCAATGTAGGTCTCTCGATTGCTTCCATCTTTCTCTATCTTGCGCCAATATAATCCGCTGTTTGTCTGCCACTGCTCTTATGTCATCTACCCATCTTTTTTGAGGTCTTCCCATGCTTCTTGTTGTCGTCCTTGGTCTCCATTCCAGTATTCTCCGTGTCCACCTGTTATAGCCCATTATATCGGGCTACGTGACCTGCCCAGCGCCATTTCATTTTTCATCCACATCCTCCATACCAACATTTCACTATCTTATCTCTTCACTCACTTCACTCTTCACTTCTACATCGTTTTCCTGTTAATTTTGTTCTCTTTCATTATTTCTTGGTCAATTCATATATTAAACATGTATCCAATAGTTTTAATTTAGTAATCACTTAAACATTATCTAACAATTTATTAAAATTCATAATCTACCATATTACATAGAATCCTAATCTACCTTTGTCCACCTTCTTTCGGTCAACAACTTAGTAGCACACTTATACAACAAATTTCAGGTTTCTACAAACTGAATTTAATACCACCTAAATAGATTTTGTTCAGGGTGCTAGATACTTTAAGTATAAAGGACCCCTATTATCTCTAATTGTTGATCAACTCCTTTTCTCCTTCAACCCCCCCCCTCCTTTCATTTCTTTTAATTTCATTCTCATCAGTCTCTGAGGAACCCAGTCTCTTCGATTTTAAATTCAATCACATATGTTACTACTTCAATTTCTTCAGCCTGTAGATTTCCATCTTACTAAACTTAATTTTATTAATTCTTCACCATAGGAGCATTCCTAAATAAAGTCATTTAAACATGAGGTCTTATATTAGCTTCAAATATTTGTTATTTAATTTTTACCTTGTCCTAGATGTGTTAAACATAAAAGGATAAATTCCACAAATACAAGCTAACCCAAAAACTAAATACACTTTAGACCACATTCCATACGACGAAAAGCAACATAAGTTGCCTAAGGCACAGGTCATTATATTAATCATGACTATAAAACCATCATTGAATTTGACATCTTTTATACCCTAAATTAATAAATAAAAAGTTTTTAAATCCCAACACCTATATTGTTGTTATTTTTAAAATCATCAAAACTTGTTGAATCTTTTGGCTGTAGTAATACTATGTACAACTTTTATAGTTTTTGTTGCATTGACATTCTGTTATCTTCATCCTTCAAAAGTATCTTGTCAATCAGTTCCACGTTGTTCTCCGAGCGCAGAGGTTGCCTCTCGCCCGGCTCTGGAACCCATTTGAGCCATGTGTTACCTTTGGTCAAATTTAATTTAATATAGAACATCACAGTTATTTTATAACACAATGTAAATAATTTCATAACTAAATGTAATTTAAAGGGTTTTTACCCTAATATTTTGGTGGCTCAGGCATTATGACCTAGTAAGTATAACCATCTTTTGCTTTTCAACCTTAGTCAAAATTTCAAAATCTCGTTTGTTTTAACTAAATGGTTTATACTTATTTTTAGGCATTTTCGATTTTAATAACCTGATGATGGACTGTTTAGTCCGAAAACGTTTGTTCTATTGATGTGGCCCTTTTAAGGGTTTTTTAAATAAATATACCCACTTACAAAGATTAACCTCTTTTTATTTCATTTTTGTAATTTCTTCCACAATATCCCTAATCTTCGTTCTACGTCTAATCTCGGTGTTTCTAAAGTTTCTATTTTCCAAGTCGTTTCACAGTTTTTTACATTTTGCAAGTTTCGGTGTTTCTATTTTGCAAGATAGTAATAGATAAATCATACTGAATTTTCTTTATAGGTTACTCACTTGATAAGTAACATACCAACAATGTCAAGTGACGTTGTGATATGCGGTAAAGTGGACATAAATAACAAATTAATATAAAAGTTTTGAAACAGTTGGAGAAAACTTTCAACCTTTCCATTTTTAATAACCAACCATTAAATGCGTTTTCTTTTTAAATGATTTCTGCCCAAACCATCAAAAATCAAGCTCTAAATTTAAGTTGATCGTCAATACAAACAATAGTTATTTCTGACCATTTGGTCGTCACAAAAACGGTGTAGCCAAGTTAGAAAAGGGGCATTGTAACTTTAAAAAAGATAACTACAAGAGAAATGCGAACAATTTGTGGCATTAGAGTTAGAAGACCCTGATGGTTTTCACGGCAACAACTAACATTAACCACGGAGGAAGCTACAGCTACTTGAGGAAAGGAATGCCAAATTTTAAAAAACGTGTAAAACAAATAGAAATGGTTAAATCGTTCAAAGATGTGGAGTTTGGATCAACAGTTATGACCAACAGGTAAACCACTATTCAAAGAAAATTCTTAAAGAGTAGCTGAACAGGGTAACTTTTTTGATGATCTTGATGGTTTTGGATTAGAAACTGTGGACTTCGACATTAATTAAAAGGATTAAAATGAATTGAAACACTTTTTAATTACCTACAGTCAAATATTTTGTCCTACATTTTGTATTAATAAAACATAGAGTATGTGGGTTACTGTGTTTTAAAAAAACCTTACGTTCTTGTATAACCTAAAAAGCAAAAAGAATTTATCCAACTTTTTATTCTTTTTTGCACAAATTGGTATTTTTTTTAACTTTGTTGAAAAAATAATTTCACATTTTACTGATATGATGATAATATACTATAGGTATAACGGTATACTATAATAAAACATGTGATTTGCAATATATTATAGGGTTTAAAGCTATTTATCTCAAAATCAGACTTGTGTGGGTTGACTTTTTTTACATAAACACCATCCAACGATCAAGAAAAAAATAACAATTACTATTACGAAAAGCAGTGGCGCTGAACTGACCTTCTTCTTCTTCTTCTTCTTCTTCTTCTTCTTCTTCTTCTTCTTCTTCTTCTTCTTCTTCTACTTCTTCTTCTTTTCTTCTTCTTCTTCTTCTTTTTCTTCTTCTTCTTCTTTTTATGATTCTGTCTGTTTTTCAACAATTTCTTCTCCAATAATTTGTCATTCCATCACCTTCGTGGTCTTCCTACTAATCGTCTTGCTATTGGGGAACTATCTCTTGTTGTCTTTACTACTCTATTTGTTGTTATTGGCTTTATGATCATTCCATTCTACTCTTGTATTTCTTACCCAGTCATCGATGTTCTCCATCTTGGATCTATGTCGTCTATCTATACTTCTAACTCTGTTCCATAGTATTTTTTATATTAATTTTTCTTTTTGTCCTCTCTGTGTCAGGTCGTGTTTCTTCCACGTATGTCATTATTGGTCTGATGACTTTTGTAAATTCTGCCTTTCCTTTCTTTCTCGATATTTTTATTTCTCAATTTTTTTTCATTCAGGCAACCTGCGGCGCTGTTTGCTCTATTTCACTTGATCTTTCACTTCTGTTTCAAGCTTTCCGTAGCTAGATAATGTGATGCCTACTCCATTATTGTTGTGATTATTTAAACTCCATCACTTGTTCTATTATCTCACCTTCCTGCTCCAATTTACATTGTAGTAAATTTGCATGGTTATGGATTTTGTCTTTTTTGAAGAAATTAATATGTTAAATTTTCTGGTGGTTACATTAAATTGGTGCAGCATACGTTGTAAACCATCTTTATTTTGAGAGATTAGTATTGCGTCGTCTGCATAGCAGATTATTTTAAGTTATTTTTCTCCCATTTGGTATCCTTTTTTAGTTCTTACTTTTTTTTACTAAATCATCCATAATTAGGTTGAACAATAGAGGACTCAGAGAATCTTCCTGCCTCATTTCAGTGTCAGCTTCAATAGGGTCAGTTAGTTCTTCTTCTACTTTTACTTTTATTGTGTTGTTTTGGTAAATATTTTCGATCGTTTTGATTTTTCCTAAAGGCATCTCTCTTGCGTACAATAAGTGGATACGTCCTTAATTTGACCCGGTCAAATGTCTTCTTAAGGACCAGTGAACATAGATATGCCGTTTGTTGTATTCTAATGATTTCTCTTGTAATTGCCTCATTATAAATATAGCGCCGGTACATGATCGTCCCGACCTAAAACCTTGTATTGGTCAACCCTAATACTACTTGTTAAAATTCATTATAAACGTTTCCCTTGTTGTTTAAGGCTTGTTATTTTCTGGGCCGTATACTCCGATGATGTTCAGGTCTTCCTTCTCCATTCTTATCTTTGCTGTTACAATCCTTTCTCATATGTATTGACACTCTTTGATGTAATTGTGGTACTTTTGATGTATTAGTAAAACTACACCTTCTTTGACCTGTTTTTTTGCTACTCCACTGTAGATTAGTATGTATTCACCTAATCTTGATTGTCCTTTTCCTTTCTTTTTGTTTCCTGTAGAGCGCAAATGTCTATTTCTCTTTCAGCACTTGGGTTATTTCTTGGTCCCTTGAGTTAAGCGAACGAGCTACTCAATACAACCTGTAATTACCCCAGGTACTGTTTTAAAACTGGTCATGCATTACAATTGAAAAAAGAAAGAAACAGAAAAGAATTGAATAAGATGATAAAAGTAAAAAAAAGTAGCAGCTTCGTCATCAGTACGTTTTTGCAATTAAAAAGCGCATGGTGCACTTTGCTTAACTAGGAGCTGTGTATCATGTATGGTGATGAACATCACAATGACGCTAATTTTTGGTTTGTTAGTGTATTTTGAATAACATATGTGTGTACTATAAAACCTCGTATAATACTCACTATGTGGAATTTAATACCGTTTTTTATATTTATCGTCCAATTTGATATTTGTCGACAGTTTGATCAGCGTGTGCCATGTGAGCAAGCCAAGCGATACAAAAACAAAACACATGAGTTTTTTTGAGCACTACAAGGTTTGAACTCGTAGAGTAAGAACCATATAAAATAAAAGTGTAACAGTACAGTGTTTCTTTCATTTATGTTTTTTGAATATTTCATTTCGCACCAATCAATATCGCACCATAGCCTTAATGAGTCATGTCTTGAAATTGTTTTTAAAAGTAATTCACAATAGAATACATAAGAAATTAGATGAAGGCATAAGTAATACACAAATGGGATTTAGGAAAGGACTGGGAACACGAGATGCACTGTTTGCAGTAAGTGTTCTTTCGCAGAGATGCTTAGATATTAATCAGGAAGTATATGCCTGTTTCATTGATTTTGAGAAGGCATTTGACAGAGTGCAGCATAATCGACTTTTATTAAATAAAAACATAGACAGTAGAGACATTAAGAATCATCTGTAACCTCTATTGGAATCAAACAGCAAAAGTGAAAGTTGAAAAACGAACTGACCAAGGATATCCAGATTCGCCGTGGGTCCGCCAAGGGTGTATTTTATCACCCTTGTTATTCAATTTATACAGTGCAGCCATCTCAGAATTAGCGCTTGCCGAGATCAGTGAGGGCCTTATAATAAACGGTGAGCCACTTAATAACATAAGATATGCTGACGACACCGTCCTTTTGGCAGGAACACTAGAAGAACTGCAACACCTTGCTGAACAACTAAATATATATTGCAACGATTATGGACTAAAAATCAATTTGAAGAAAACCAAGTTCATGGTATTTACAAAAGCACAAAACATCAAAGTTAAGCTAGTACTAGATAATACAGAAACTGAACAAATATCTTCGTACAAATACCTTGAAGCATGGATCACAGAAGATACTGATCAGACAAAAGAAATAAGATGCAGCATTGAAATTGCGCGGTCAACTTTTAATAGAATGAGAAAACTTTTTTGTAATCGCGATATCAATATATCGCTCCGGATAAGAATGCTTCGATGTTATATTTTCTCTACCCTTTTGTATGGAGTTGAAGCATTGGACACTTAAAAAATCCAACATTAAAAACCTAGAAGCATTCGAAATGTGGTGTTACCGACGCATTTTGAAAATATCATGGATGGATTGCAAAACAAACGAACAAGTTCTCGAACAACTAGGAAAACAATGCGAAGTTTTAAATTCCATAAAGATCAGGAAATTGGAATACTTGGGGCACATCATGAGAGGTGAAAAGTACGAACTACTAAGGAATATAATGCAGGGTAAAATCAAAGGTAGAAGAAGCGTAGGAAGACGTAAAATCTCGTGGCTACGCAATCTCCGTGAGTGGTTTGGATGCAGTTCAATTGAACTATTCAGGCGAGTAACCAATAAAATTATAATTGCCAGAATGATTTCCAATCTCCGATAGGAATGGAACTTGAAGAAGAAGAATATTTTATCTAATAAAGTGCAGTTTAAGTCAGTACTTTGCTATTGGAATAAACAACCAAAATAATGCATGTACAGTCGTATATTATAGAAACAAACAAAAGCATCTATAGTCACCAACAATGTTGACGGCTTACTGCCAAAACAAGTTAACTCCTCTTTATATTTTTTGAGAAATCTACGTCTTAACCTTTAATTTGAAATGAAACATCGCCTGAATGTAAAAATGAGTAAAATATTTAAGTATATAACATTTCAAACAAAAATTTTTTGTAAAATTATTGCTAAAATAAAGTTTCAAACGAAAAATTTTGTAAAATGATTGCTAAAATATAGTGAAAATAAAAAAAAATATAATGCAAAACATTTTCTTGCGTCTGGTTTTTGACTGTACAAAGTTTAGTCACCTTCCAGTTCACTTTGTCTCCCTGACTCCTGATGGACACAGCTTTAACAGATCTTGTTTTTTTTTTTAAACCGAAGTGCCGGGTTTGGAGTGTCTCTTTTTAAAAAGTATTTTGCCCAGAACAGCAGGCGACCTTTCTAAAAATATTTATTTCTTTGTATTCAAAAATTGTGATCGGACATGTACGATTTTCTACCTGGTTTTGATTTTAAACATTTCAAGCATTTTATTTGTAATCAATTAATATTTTCTCCATTATTTGTGTTTTTTTCATACGTTTCCATTATTACTTTCAACAGAGCCTTTAGGTATTCCTCAGATTCAATTACTCGTCTAAGACTAGGGAATGGAATGGTTGAGCTGGGAATACCTATAGAAGCTGCCCAAAGAGCAAAGACCGTTCTGGCTTTTGTCCATGGCGTAGGTGCAGTAGCACAATCAAAATTAGAAGTTTAAGGATATTGTCTCAAGCTTTGAAGAAGCTGCATTAAATAACGAATGGAGGAGCAGACAACAACGAGTCTCTCTTTGCAAAGGAAAATGTAGTGAAATATAGAAAGTACAATAGATTAAGATATGCAGGACATGTGATACGAGTAACGACAATCGTAGTAAAAAGAATAAACAATGTGTTTTGGAAAAGATCAGATGAAAGAAGATCTGTGGGACGGCCTAGAAAAAGGTGAAAAGATGCAGTCAGAGAGGATCTGTAGAAACTGGGATTGAGACATGAGGAAAGAGTCGCACAGGACCGATAAACATGGAAGGCAATACTAAACGCGGCAAAGACTCACGAGTAGTTGTAATGCAAGGCATAAATGACAATTAAAAACACGTGTACCTTGACAAGTCGAGACATCTATTCAAGGATGATGTACATTTCTAAAAACTATTATCTATTCACAATATCGTACTACGCTGAGAGTTAATTTTCATCACATTAAATTTGTGCATTTATATTAAAAAAGGACAACGAAATAACCTAACTGACAACGTCTTGTTCTTACAGTAAGCCGACCATATTTATTTGTTTTAACTGAATTCATTGAATTACTAGAATTAAACTTGTCTTGAATTATTGATTTTTTAAAGTTTTTCATATACTTTTAGAAATATTGTATGCAAATTTACAGTGACGTTTCTTTTATTTTTAGGGATTTCCAGTTCATGCAGAACCGATCATTTACTCTCATACTTTTCAAGGTTTGGAAATATAGTTTGGATTTGTCGTAAAAATTATTTGTTGGTGGAATATGCGGAACAAACATCTGTAGAGAAAATATTAAGGTTAACTCAGCATTTTGTTAGTGGTGAAAAATTGTTTGTTAAGAAAAGGGAATCGACACCTCAAGGTGATTATTTTTCTGTTTTAAGTTTTATTTAACCTATTAATAGTTGAATTTTTCTCTAACTATAGTTCTTCTCGTTAATATTATATATTAGTGTTGTATCAATCGCGATTGATTCGTTCATTTTGATTCAATCACTTCCAAGTATTTAAACGATCGAATCCCGCTAGTTCATAAACAATCGAATCGTATGGTGACATGTATTGATCGATCGCCGACGGCGCCGATCGAGATTGAACCAAAACAAAATTGCACAGGTCAGTACAATGCTCTCATTACTTTCGGTCCTCGGTCGTTCCTCATTTGCGACTAGAAACCGATACATGCCATGCCGCTAAATTATTGCGTTCGATTGAATGATTGAAAACTTAAAATACTACATATTGAATTAAGAATTGCGTGCAAGGATTAGCTACAGACCGGGAGTATTGGAGTTGGAAAATATTCTATCGGACCCAAGTGGATTGCGTTCGCTTTTGTGTTGTTAATAGTTATTAGGTAGTTAAAATCATAAAAGAAATTTTAATATATTTTCATGACTGTTAACTAGCTATTTGGAGGCATTGTAAATCACGCGGCGTACAATTTTTTATAAAAAAATGATAGATTATCTGATTTTTACTTAGAAATAGTATTCTGAAGTAGAAGTAATATGCCTGAAAATAAACAATTTAAATTTTGTCGTGATATTCATATTGTAACATTTAAAAATAATTGGTTGGAATCTATTAAAGCTGCTATCACTTTGTTGAATTGAATGGCCAAATATGTGGCCTAGGAGGACAAATTCGTTAAACTTCCCGTTATCGAATCGGTATCAATATAGTGTTATGACTAATTTCAGCATCCCTGCTTCGTCAGGCACTCGGTTCGATAGAAATTCAAACTCGGAAAGTCCAACGACTGTCTCCTAAATCTTTACTACAACTGCAGTGGTTAGCGTATATAGGTGCCACCTATATTGGTGGCAATGAACGACAACGATTTAATAATATTGTTTTCTGTCCTCTGGGCTGTAACGAAAAGTAAAACAATTTATAGTGTAACATTTTTTTATAGTTAATATATTAAATTATTTCTAATCCCTTTACCCCTGTGGTTGAGACGCCGATGGTCGTGTTTACGATTAGAACATTTTTATTGCAATCTACCGACTACCTCAAAATATGGAAGAACCGACTTATTAACGACGCCGGTTTGGTTAATCCTTAATTAATCCTTTTCCGGTTTTCAAGCGGGTTCCTTTGTTAGATATAAACGTGCGTCGAAACGCACGTTTATAGTAACTTGCTGTAAGAATTTAATCCAAAAGGATTTATATTTCATCACGTTATTACCTAGAAGGGTACCGTTATATTCGATGTCGTTGGAACCTTTTTATCTACTTAGAAATACAGGTTGTGCTGTCATTTTTAAGAGGGAGTTACCCCCATCTTTTTTTTGGGGGGAGCTTGGTTAAATTTTAGAGGAACCAAGTCACTTGTGGTCGGGGCTTTCTTTGAGGAAAGACGCTCGTTACCTTACCGTCTCTGTGCATTTTTCTTTTTTAGTGTGTATACACTTATATAGTTTGAGTTTCTACATCTAATACTGTATTAGATTAAATATAGTTATAAAGTACCTTTTAATTTAAATAACTTCAGTGCTTGATACAAGTATAGTATATAGCTTCAGTGCAGTGTATGCAGTCATCGAAAATTACTGTAAGTTATCATAATCATCTTCAATTATCTGGGCGAATCTACTTTTAACCATGTTTTCACCTATAGTTAAGATTAACTACCGATTTAACTATTGAATTCAAGGAACATGTAATAATTTCATATGAACTTTCAATCAGTTTTTAAGATCTTCTAAATTACGAACATTTATTATTTATTATTCTCAGTTTGGTTTAAATTTTTAATTCTGTAATCTTTTTGTATCTTTTGAATTTAACTTTAATTAACTGTGTGTTATTTGTTATTTATTTTTTTATTTACTGTATTATCTCGAGATACGCCCATACCCAGCAAAGAGAGCTTTTTTCAGTTCAGTTCAGAGCTTAGATCAGTTTTAGTAGAATTTTTTAGTCACTATAAGGCTCTCTTCGCTGATAATTTAATTTGTGTATGATTTCATTATATTGTATTTGTAAAGGTATTTTCCTAATTCATATTACTGTTTATTCCATACGTATACAACCATTTATCAATTGATGGTGCATTTTTTATTACTTTGTGTACATTCATCCGCCTATATCATTGTCTTGTTTGAATATATTGTTTTTATTTTATGTATGGAGTCCCACCTAATATATTTATTATATTTGTTTGTGTAGAGTGTTGATCAAATTTATTTAATTATTAACTGTTAATATATTTTCTTGGTTTGGATCTCTGAGCCTAAATATCTTTCCTTATCTCTTTTCTTTTCTAAGGTTTCCTTAATATTACTCCTTAAACCCCAAAAAGTTAAGTGGCGCCCTGTTTCTATCTTATCTTATCTTTGGTAATTTTACCAATCTATCTTTTTGTTTATTTCTGTATCTTTTCTCATATATCTTATCTTGCCATATCTTTACTTATTTCGTCCGTTTGACCCATTCCCGGTTCCAAAAGCTAGTTTCGAACCCACGACTCGCTCTCCACCAACCATCTGGCTGCCGTTCGCAGTGTCTCCATTGGTGATCTTTCTAGCACCATCCAAAAAAGGTTTCCGAGGTTACAATAAATGGGATAAATAGGTAATAAAAAAGCCATATTTATTTTTTTTCCTCACACAATGACTTTAAATGTAACTTTTATTGCAAAAATAAAATTTTTGAACCAACATTTAATTTGATGGCATACTAATTTTTTTCCCCACAAAATTTTTTAAATTTTTATTAAAAAAAATAAATATTTGACTAGGAATTAAAAGTTTAGCAAACTGTAAAATAATAGGAATGGGAGCGTTATGTGAAGGTAAGGAAAACGCTGTCACCAAATGTAATACACAATAGATCCTCAAGGGATGCTAACCCTGCGAGCGGCTGCAAGGAATACTGGTCACACTGGTCGGGAGGGCTGGCTCGTCTTCGTGGATTTACGAGAAGATAAGGGATTTTCGGGATAGGGGTAAGGACTCCTAGGTCTCAGGTCCTGTAAAGAGCAGAGGTTATGGGCTTACTTTTGAAGCCGGAGATATGCAGACGCAGAATCTCGTGTTCTCCTAGTCTCTAGTGAGTCGGACGAAAGGAACATTAAAAAAACCAATTTAGAGTCTACAATATATTGAATTTACCCTGAAGTTACAATTACAATCGTTAACACGTTATTCTGCGCGTCGGAAGTCGAGGAGCAAGATAGTGAAAAGTTGACAGTGGTACTAATATAATTACTCAGGTTAGTTTATAGAAATCTGTTACCTTATTTGGGCTTTCAACCACGACACGTTCGGTCCTCTGGAACTCGGTCAGTTGAGGGTCTCCTCCTGTGTTGCGAACTTACGAGCTGCCACAATAACCGGACTACACGCGATACTAGGCCGGATGATAAGCGCCCCCCGGAGAATTACCGACTGCCCGTACTGGACGCTCCCGGAGGCAATTACTGCCTTGGGCAGGCACAGCTGCCCCGCTACTACGGACCGCTTCCGCCGTATTACTACCACTGACTTCTATTACTGACTACTCATTACTAACTGCCCGTACTGATCGCGTACTGGACGCTATCGCGTCCAGCCACGGTGCCCAGCTATCACTGACTGCCCATTACCAACTGCCTGGCTACCGTCGTTTTTTTCTTGTTTTATTGTGCTCGTACTTTCAACGCCGGTTCTAGTACCAAGGTCGTGGTTTCGCTGAGTTGTAGTTTTGGCGTTATTACTCCTATTTGGGTCACGGGTGTTGTTATTTTTTACAACAATAGTTTCTGTTTAACGTGCTTTTTATACGTTTAAACAATTATCAAACAATGCAATAACTAGGTCAATTTCTTTGTGTGATTTAAAATGCAAATTTTACTGTAATAATTATCCCTTATTTGATTTGGAATATATAATAATTATCTCGAATAATTATTATCTTTTCTATGCTACTTAGCCCTTTATTCCAACTTCTCACTCACTTGCTGCGCTCACATTACAAAACTGAACCACATATTTAAAAAATGTGACTTCTCTTGCAAAAATTCAATTTTTTTAAACGTATATTTAATTTATCAGTATTAATAGTATCATAGCTCAATGCTGTATATTTTAAACAACACTTTTGCCAATTTGCATTCAGAATTGCAGGAGGTATAATATTTGTTTAGTAATTTATCGTTAGGGCAGTTTTATTGCATATATTGTATTGTATTTATTGATCCTTTTAATTCTAGTATGTTTTAGATGCAGCACCTATAGCACAACAATCTATGCAGTCCATAACTTTTATGGAGCGCTTGAAAACGACAGTCGATATATCGGAGCAAGTTGCAGAACTAATTGCTCACGTACGAGGTTCTGAATCTTATACCTTTACACCTCAACACGGTGTGATATGTAAAGATATTTACGAAGCAATACAATATAGTTATCCACGTTGTCGAATTCACCCTTTCGGATCTTCCATTACAGGACTTCATTTTGGACCAGTGATGTAGATGTTTACATATCTGGAATACGACGTGGTAATGCAGATGAAAAGAAGTTATTGTTTATTTTAAAGAGCATTTTAACTCGTTCTGATAGATTTACCAATCTATTTGTCATAGGTAAGTTACTTTGTTACTAGAGTTGCTAATTAACAAATCTGTATCAATTAGAAAGTACTGACCTTCAAACGTAACCCGTCAAAATTTGGGCGATGAGCGAAATTAGACAGTTTATTTTACGGTTTAAATGACGCTAATATTGTTCTGAAGCTATTTTCTTGTGTCATCAAAAAACAACAATTTTTACTCTAACAAAGTTTATTTAACGTTTTGATGTCCACTTCAGAAATCCTTTTCAAAATCCAAAACATTAATAAATTAAACAAATTATTTTCTAAATATTTTTTTTAATTAATCTAATTATTACAATCTAAACGTATTACAAATACATTTTTACATTTGACAATACTTATTTTTTACATGATTACAATTAAAGTTTATAAACCACTTGAATGTCTTTTAAATATTTAAATAGACTTATTTCTCAATTTCATTCAATATTTCTTGTATATTATCTCCCAACTGGTGTTATTTTCTATTAGTAGAAAGATATGAACATTCTTTAAAGAAATGCTTGACGGTTAAGGGACTGCTGCAGTGGTCGCATGCATGTGGATCGGTAGATGCAATGAGAAAGCCATGTGTAAGCCGAGTGTGTCCAATTCTTAATCTTCTTAGAATATCCTTCTGTCTTCTGGGCATATGTACTAGCTCTAAGGAAGGTATAACTGGTTTTCTAATTTAATTTTATCTGACTCATATGGACAATTCAGACATTATTATACATTTTACAGTAAATGACTTTAATATGATACTGTCTACTATTGGATGACTTTATTGGAAGATAGTCCATTTGATTACATGAAATCTAACTAATGAATATTCGTCAGAAAAATCATAGTATATGACTTTAAAAATACAGCCACATACAATGATGTTTCTCTCTTCTTCTCCTTCTTCCTTTTTATAAGCAATTCTGCTTGTTTGTTGGCGGATTAATACCTCTAGGACGTTTTTTCACACCATCTTTTGCGCAGTCGTCCGATAGTACTTCTTTTGCCGATTTGCGACTTATCTCTTGCTATTTTGAGGACACGGGTCTCCTCCATTTCTGCTTATATGGTTATTCCTTCATTTCTTTTCTATTTTGTCTCCATTCATTAATACACTATACGCTACATTTTCTTCTAATTTCTTCACTTCTCTTTCGATCTCTCAGCGTATTTCCTGTAATTCTTCTCAGTACCCTCATCTCTGCCGTTTCGAGTAGCCTTTGCGTTGTGGCTAAGTCGGGTCTTGTTTCTGAGGCATATTGGTCTTTGGAGAATGATTTTATAAATTCTTTACTTCATCTTAGTGTTAATGTGTTTGCTTCGCCATATAGTGTTATCAAGGCATCCTGGCAGTCTATTTACTTTTTGTACTTGATCTCTTACTTCTTCCAGGTATCCATAGCTGGACAGTGTAATTCCCAGCTGTTTTATTTTTATTACTTGTTCAATACTGATGCAATTCATTTCTATTTGATATCTGGTTGGTTCTTTGCTGACTACTATTGTTTTAGTTTTCTGAGATAGATTGCCATATTAAATTCTTTTGCTCTTATGTTAAATCTATGGACCAGTCACTGCAGACTATCATCTTCATCTTGGGCTATCACTTTAGTTTATACTATATTTACTAGTATACTAAATAGAAATATTTGTGAATTTTATGTTCCATATAGTTCCTTATAAAATAGTATAAAATCATGATCGCTTAAATCAATTTTGAGATAGGAAACACGCCATTTTGAATTTATAAAATGTTGAAAATTATTAAAAATACTTTCTTTGCACATTTTAATGCATTTGAGTGTATTTATTAAGCCACAAAAATGTAGGACCTTATATACATAAAAGTCACACAAAAAATTCCAAAATAATAGTTTTTATTTTTCGAAATTAACACATGATAAAGGCCCTTTACTATCCTTGCACTATTTACTAATAAAATAGTAATTCAGTAATAAAATAGTACGCTAAATTTAAAGCGATAAAAAACCAGTAGTAATTATAATTACAGTAGGGCCTCGCTAATCCGTACTCCTTCTTTTATCGGTGATCGCTTAATCCGGCCGGGCAATGAGGTGGCGCTCGGTTGTAGGTGCGGGGGCTGCCGTTCGTGAGCCAGCCTGTGGTCAGTCTTTTGTTTAGCGCCTTTCGTGTTGGTACAGTGACAATTTAGCGCGCTCGCTAACATCATGGCGCTGCCTACGTAAACATTCAACATTAAAACTCAGTTTTACACCAGAGGTAATTGACGACAAAAGAAGAAATAAATATTGAGGAGGAAGACGTAAAGGAAGCATTAAGGATAATTAAAAAATAGGAAAATCACCAGGAGATGACAGAATACCGAACGAACTCCTAAAGTACGTGAGGACCCAGATCTAACCAAACAACTATCAAAACTAATCAAACAATAATATAACAAAACAAAATTCCTCAAGAATGGATTTTATAGTCGAGGAATTACAGAGGAATTAATTATTAAACACAACACTAAAATTAACAACCAAAGTGATAAAAAATAAATTGAATGAAATGACAACACTAGCATAAAACTACAAGGTTTTAGGTCGAGAAGATCATGTACCCGGCCGCTATAATTTTAATTAATCAAGTGCAGGAGAAATCACTAGAATACAGCAAACTGACATATCTATGTTTCGTGGACCTTACAAAGGCATTTAACCGGGTCACATCAAGACGTTATCGACTTACTGTACGCAAGTAAGATACCTCTAGGAATAATCAAAACGATCGAAAATATCTACTAAAACAACACAATAAAAGTAAAAGTAGAAGAAGAACTAACCGACAAATGGGACAAGACAGGGAGACTTATTGAGTCCTCTATGTGTTCAACCTGATTATGTGGAAGAAATAATAAAAAAAGTAAGAACTAAAAACGATACCAAATGGGAGAAAAACAACTTAAAATAATCTGCTATACAGACGATGGCAATACGACTACTCTCAAATTGAAGATGATTTACAACGTATGCTGCACCAATTTAATATAAGCGCCAGAAAAATTATACATGTTAATTTCCCCAAAAAAAAGACAATCATGTTACAACAGCAAATTTACTAAGATGTAAATTGGAGCTGGAAGGTCAGATAATAGAACAAGTGATGGAGTTTAAATATCTAGCATCACATTATCTAGCTAACGGAAAGCTCGAAATCGAAGTGGAAGATCAAGTAAATAAGAGCAAACAGACCGCAGGAATGCCTAAATGAAACAATATGGAGAAATAACAATATCGGGAAAGAAACGAAAGGCAGAATTTACAAAACAGTCATCAGACCAATAATGACATACGCGCAGAAACAAGACCTGATACAAGAGAGGACAAAAAGGATGTTAGAAACAGCAAAGATGTAAACACTTAAAAAACTTGATGGTACGGCACTATGGGGCAGAGCTAGGACAGATATACGACGTAGATGCAAGGTAGAGAACATCAAGAACTGGGTAAGAAATAAAAGAGTAGAATGGAACGATCATATAAGCCGAAAGACAACAAATAAAGTAGTAAAGACGGTAAGAGACGGTTCCCAATAGGAAGACGATCATCCAGAAGACCATGAAAACGATGGAACGGCAACTTACTAGAGGCACATTGAAAAACAGACAGAGTCATTTCTATATAAAAAGAAGAAGAAGAAGGTCAATTGTGGGTGACATAAAAAAACAAAGAGAAAATTTTAAGTTTGTAAGCCTACCCGAACGTGGTCCCGATGTTCGAAAAACACTAAAGAAATCGAAAAATCCAGTTTTAGATGACGCTTTGTTTACGTGGTTTTTTGCAACAAAGACGATTATACAGATTGAACGAAATAAATTCGGAACATAGGAATATAATGTATTTCGGCTCAATTCTGCTGTAGGTGGTTAGCCAACAAATATTGTCAAATAATTATATTATAAAAATCCAATACTTCAGCGGGCTGCTGGATTCTGAACTCATAAAAATTGAAAGCTACACATAAATCTACGATTTATGCTGTCAAACCAGTTATAGTCCAGGAAATGAAGCATTTCACTCGCATTTTTTCGTGCTCCCTGGATGACTTGAAATTTAACAGAAGGTATGTAATAGCCTAAGGATCAAAATCTATATCGAACCAAAGTGCGCCAAAGCCTAGGGGTGGTTGCCACCCCATCTCCGGTGAATTTTTTACGTTTTAACTACAGTGTATTCGATTAAAACGTGCTATACATTTTTTTATAAAATGATATTTTTCAAGTTATCCGCGATTGAAAGTAATAACTTTTAGACGAAAAAATCCACGTTTTTAATCGATTTTTCGCGAATAATTCGAAAATGGTGCATTTTATCAAAAAAATTGTAGAGAACAAATTTGTAGCTTTTAAAAAGACAAATACAATTCATTTTTTAAAATGTTTTTGCGATATAATAGGAACCGAAATACGGCCTATCAATGTTCAGCGGTTTTCTTCAAATGCCAAATTTGAAAGATTCAAAATCAAATATCGGAAAATGATGCATTTTTGGAAGAAAACTCACAAAACCTTTTTTAAAGAGCATAAATAGACCTATCATAAAAAAGACTCTAGCTCAAAAATTGAGTGAGTTATGATGAAAATAAGGTCAATACCTCATTTTTTACGCAAAATACCGATTGTTAAACAACCCCCTAACCATCCCCATAATTAAAATCGATCTTTCACCCTTCTGAAATTCCCTTTGTACATGTATTGTTAATACGTCCAAGAAGTTTGGACCCATTTAAAATGCTTTGTGTTAGAAAAAGTACAGCTTAAAGCGAGAAACGATTTACAATTTCATATTTTTTACCCTTCTTTTTTTAAATATGCCCGAAAATACTGAATATATGAAAAAATACAAATTACCAAATTGTAGCTTTTTTAATGACTAAAATTATCCTTCATTTAGATTTGTTGTACAATGAATATTTGGCGAGATATAGCCGTTTAAAGCATCGATTTACGATCAAGCACCATCTTTTTCGAGCCCTTTAAACTCACCCCATTTAAAAACCAAGGTTCCAAAAAGATTTAATTCACAGATCCTTGTAGCTCTTAAAAACCTCTACAAATCGTTTTTGAAGAAACACTCTATCGTTAAAAATTAAAGAAATACGTTAAAAAAACCAGTGAATTTTTTTCCGGAAAATTCTATTAGTATAGTACAGTACATTTCGGAGCATAATAATCTACAAAACCGGTATATTAGCTAGTGGGGCGTTATACATTCGAAATTTTAAGCGTTCTTATTTGAAATCCCATACAACAGAATAAAACATCTGCTCATATGTCTATGGCTTGGCAATGAAAATATAGAGCAACAGATTGGGGATGGTATTCCAAAGATGGTTTGTTATTACCCGTACGCAATGAACAAACAACCTGCACTCGATGAACTTTTGAAAATTATTTTTTGGCAATGCAAAAAAGGATGCGGTGTTTCATGTGGGTGCAGAAAAGTTGGTTTATACTGTAACTCTACTTGTTCTGGGTGCTCAGGTGAAGGGTGCAATAATAGTCCACCAATAATTGAAGATGAGGATGACATAGATCACGATGAAGATGTAATTGATGACGAATAAAATTAATATTATAATTGTTTTACCTATAAATGTAAATATTTTCAACTATTTATGTAAATGTATAAGAATATATGGTGCCTTTTTATGTTGATAAATTTTTTTGTATTTAATTCTACTTTTTTCAATTTATATCTTATAAATTAGTTTATAAAAACTGCAATGTTGTAAAGGGTGATTTTCAAAAGTTGAAAAGTTGCAAAATTTTGGCAAAAAATTGTTTTCACCTATAGCACTCATAACAATTGATTTTTAAGGGTTGAAAATGTATGAATTTGTATTTTAAAGTATAAAAAAATCAATATTTAACTAATCCAAACCAAATTTCACTCATCTTAAGATTTATAATATTATTTTACAATTTTTGAAAATTAGGGGTAGTTTTCACCCCTAAGAACAATCAGGGTTCATCGGCATGACATAAACTATAAAGCAGAGGGTGAGTTGAGCTTAATTCCAAATTTTTATGCAAATCGTTCCAAGGTGAAATCATTTTCTTCGCATTACTAATTTTTTTATATTAATCTCTAATAAGGGTCGCTTTTTAAGGGTTGAAATATGATGGAACTTTATTCAAAAGCACGAAACTATCATTATTTAATTAATTCAAACCAAATTTTACCCATATTCAGGTTTAATATGTTATTTTATAATTTTTGACAATTAGGGTAGTTTTCACCCCTTAGAACAATCAGGGTTCGTCGACATGACATAAACTATAAAGCAGCGGGTGAATTGAGCTTAAATCCAAATTTTTATCCAAATCGATCCAAGGCGAAATCATTTTTTTAGAATTAGTAATTTTTTTACATTAATCTCTAACAAGGGTTGCTTTTTAAGGGTTGAAATATGATGGAACTCTATTCAAAAGTATAAAATAATCATTATTTAACTAATTCAAACCAAATCTTACCCATATTCAGGTTTAATATGTTATTTTATAATTTTTGACAATTAGGTAGTTTTCACCTCTAAAATCCTTCAGCGCACTTCGGTTCGATATAGATTTTGATCCTGGGCTATCACCTACCTTCTGTTAAAATTCAACTGGATACATGCAGGACGCAAAAAATTGCGAGGTTTTAACTTTTTCGAGATTCATTTCCTGAACTATTATCGTTTCCTTAGACAAACCCGTCTTACGCAAACAACATGTTGTGAGACAGATAGTTTGAACGATATTTTTATACAATGTCTATACCCAGGTATGGATTTATTTTTGTCCAAGTTTTATATTGGTCCACTATTTCAAATGCAGTTCAAACAGACATGTATTAAATTGTATGTTCCGTTTTAATTTGGTTCGATCTGTATGTTCCTATAAGTGGTAGTATGATTTGTGAAAAAGCTCGTGTTTTTTATCGCTAGATTACAAACTCCAATATCGAGTTTAATGCAAGCCGGGGTAGTTAGACAAATTTAAAAAACGACACGGAATAAGACGTTTAAAAATGTCGGGTTAAAAACTATCCAATGATGAATCCGCTATCGTACCATTCCAACTAAAGTTACATAGTTATTAGAGAAAAAAAAAAAAAATAAAAACCAAAACAAGTGTAACAATGCTGACGAATCAAATGAAGATGAGAGTGACATTTGTCTTGTGCAAATGCGACTGGAACCCATAAACATCAATTGCTTGTTGTCGGAAAATCAAAAAACCCACGAGCATTTAGATCAACACGTCTTCCTATTTTGTTATCGTGCACTATAAAAATGCTTGGGTAACGAAAGATTTGTTTCTTGAGTGGTTTAAAATGGAATTTGTTCCCGCGATCCGCCGCCATCTTTTGTCTCTTAATTTCCCTCTCGGGCACTTTTTTTGTTAGATAATTGTCTGGAGAGAATCCATCAGCAGATGAACTTATCTGTGAAGACGGCAACATTTTTGTAATGTTCCTGACAGCTAACACCACGGCCTGTATACAACCAATGGATCAGAACGTTATACAAAATGTTAAGTTAAATGACCGCAAATCACTTTTGGTTAACTGTCTTGTATTATGTTCTGACAACTCATCGACACATTAAAATCGATATCTTTAAAGGACACTGTTTTTCTTTTGGCTAATTGCTAGGCTGATGTTAAGGCACAACTAATTAACAAATCATGGGAGAATTTGCACCCCCAATTTCTCACTGATAATGATGAACCAGAAGATGATGTTCCCTTGGCCCAGTTTTTTAATAGTTTGAGGGGACCCATTGATCCTCAAGTAAGTGAGGCAGTGTGAAATACAAAGATATGAAATGTTATGAACAGATATGAACTGTTCTCACCTTCGAAAAGTTCAGAGGCGGTAGGAACTTTCAACACAACTTTAAAATGGCAATCCACTATTTAAAAGTAACTGTCTCCTTCTTTGAATGTTAAATCCAAATAAATGTAAAGGTCTTTCTCCTCACCGTAATTATATATATATTATATATATATATAATATAATAATATATGTATATATAAATATATATATATATATATATTATAAATATATATATATATAATATATATATATATATATATAAATATATATACTAGAACGCTATAAGATTTGGAGGTTTTAACTGTTCTGCTTTAAGAAATTACAGTAAACAACACTTTACACTCTACCAACCAACTGTTACATCACTATTCTATATAATTAAATTTCAGCAAACACGCCTATAATATTCAGTAAATAACTACTCCTCAACTAAAACCTAAAACGCTTCACACACAGAGACTGATTCAGACTGTGTTAACTGGACAGTGTAAATAAAGAGTGGATGAACGTTCCGCTCTTCAAGTTTTTCTACTATATCGCTTACATATACTTTGCATCTCGCACCCTTCGCTCTTTTGGGCCAGTGTAATGTCGGCGAAACGGTCCTTCAGATAGTTTCACCGTCAGAGAGATGGGTAATTCACGGAAAAATACGTCATTTAGCTCACTTTACCATAAATGAACTTGCTGTATGTAATATTGATGCATCAGTTTAATGTATTAAATTATTACTTTATTTTCAGGACATGCCAAAATACCTATATTAAAATGTTTACATGTACCGACGAATACTTCTTGTGATATTAATGTTAGGAATATGCTAGGAAGTGTGTAATAGTCAATTGATAAAATACTATCAAGATATCGACTATAAAATCCAAGAGATGATGATAATCATTAAGTATTGGGCTAAAATCCACAAACTTACTGGCGCAAACGTTTTGTTTACAAATTATTCATTGTGTATGATGATAATTTTTTTCTTACAAGGGTAAGTAATTTTTTAATAACTTAATTGTTATTTATAGGGAACTGTCAAAAAATCGAAAGTTAGTTATGAAAGAGTGGTACCAGTAATATAATTTAATTTTGAAATGGTAGCATAGTAAATAAATAAATAAATAAATATATATATAATATATATATACATAATATATATAATAATATATAATATATATATATATATATATATATTATTTATTAATATATTATATATTTATTATATATATATATTATATATATAATATTTATTATATATATATATTATATATTATTTCTTTAAGTGCATTCTTAAAGTGTAATTTAATCTGATTGGTCCATGTTTTTTGACATCAGTAGTAACACTTGGCCCGCTTAGTGATTGATTAGTGTGAGGAAGCTCAGGTAGATCTGTTATAGTAAAAATTACTAAAAAAAGTTATTAACAAAAATTGTAGGCAGCTTTAAACTCCACATTTTAAAATTAGTTACAATCTTACAGGTGTTCCATAAGATGGTGGCAGACCAAACTTATGTTTTTTTAAATGAACACCCTGTATTTTATTTTAAATTTAAAATCGGCTTCACTTCCACATCACAACAATGTAAAGTTTTATTATGTTATACGGGTATCTAAAAAGTTATAACCAATATTACCTGAAAATCGTATCAAGTTTAACTCCCTGTGCAATTAAAAAGGAGTATAGGAACATTGATCTATTGCAACCATAGTTTTTAAATAATTGTTAAAAATTATAAAACATATTCGTTTTCCATAATATTCGTTTAAATCAAATACAGGGTAAGTCAAAATGCAAATACATTATTTTCTTGGTAATTTTAAATAGAACACCCTGTATTTTATATCACTATCAAAAAGTAATAATATCGTACTTCAAATTTTATAAAGTACTCCCTATAACCTAAAGTTATCAGTTTTCTAGATATTATTGTTTTTCCATCAAAGTATTAATTTGGTAGATATTTTAACGTTTACCAACTCACAATATAATTATGTGAGTTGGTTATGATTGATTTGTCAAAAACTGACAGTTTGACATTATTGTTTAATAATTTAGTAACGAAATAACGACACAGAAAAGAAAACAATTTATTTAAAATAAAATTTATAAAAAATAACCTACGAAAATAATAAAAAAAATAAACAACACATAGAAAAATTAAAAACAACAGTAAGTTTAACTTATCTTACTTAAGTAAGGTGTTCAAAATGACCTCCCAAAACATCTATGCATGCTTGAAAACGGTCATTGAAAGAGTTGGTTACATTACTAAGCATTTGTAAAGAAATATTTTGAAATGCAATTCGGATTCTATTTTTCATATCATCCCTTGTTGTTGGGGTATTTTATATACTTCGTTCTTAACGTAACCCCAAAAAAATGAGTCCATTTTATTGAATTCTGGTGACCTTGGGGCCACCTTACCGGTCCATCCCTTCCGATCCATCTTTCCCCAAACTGATTATTAAGTTCACCACGTACTAATTCGTTGTGGTGCGCAGGAGCACCGTCATGTAGAAACCACATTTTTTCACGTATATTAAGTGGAACCTCTTCTAATAATATCGGTAACTGATTTACGATAAATCTAAATAAATCTCACCATTTAAATTATCTTCAAAAAAATATGGTCCTACTACATGGTTACCGACGATACCTCCCCACACATTTAGAGACCATCTTGTTTGACTATGTGTTACTATGTGGTATGGATTACTTGTTGAGTAGTAGTGAAAGTTATGCCTATTAAAAGAACCGTTTCGATGGAATGTAGCTTCATCACCAAATAGGACATAATCAAAAAAATCTCTCTGCTCATTAATTTTTTCTAAGGCCCATTCACAAAATACTATTCGTTTCTGAAAATCATCATTAATTAATTCTTGGTGCTTTTGAATATGATAAGGGTGCATCTTGTTTTTAGATAGAATGTTTTGAACAGAGTAGTAACTAAGTTCTTGTTCATTGGAAATAGTCCTTATGCTTGTGTGTGGGTTTTCTGTAACCGCCATCAACACACTCATTTCGTTTTCCTCTGTCACACTAGTTTTTGTTCGTTCATGTTTTCATAATTCACTGAACCTAGTGCGGTTAAATCGATCTTTCAATTTTTCAAATGTATCTTGTCTAGGTTGTCGCCTATCTGGAAACCGTTCTTGATAAATTCTAGCTGATAGTAATGAATTTTTATTGCATTCCCCCAATATCCAGATCATATCTACCATTTCATCAGTAGTAAAATTCATTATTGCTAATTTAAATTGAATCAATTACTGAATTACTAAATAATAATTGTTGCTAATTTACGGTGTACCCCAATACTGAATTAATAAATATAATGTCAAACTGTCATTTCTGACAATCAATCATGGCCAACTCACAATAATTATTGGTAAACGTTAAAATATCTACCAAATTAATACTTTGATGGAAAAATAAAAATATCTTTAAAACTAATAACTTTAGGTATAGGGAGTACTTCATAAAATATGAAGTACGATATTAGTTCTTTTCGATAGTGATATAAAATACAGGGTGTTCTATTTAAAATTACCAAGAAAATAATGTACTTGCATTTTGACTTACCCTGTATTTGATTTAACGAATATTATGAAAATGAATATGTTTTATTAGTTTTTAACAATTATTAAAAAACTATGGTTGCAATAGATCAATGTTCCTACAATCCTTTTTAATTATACAGGGAGTTAAACTTGATACGATTTTCAGGTAATATTGGTTATAACTTTTTAAATACCCGGTATAACATAATAAAACTTTACATTGTTGTAATGTGGAAGTGAAGCAGATTTCAAATTTAAAATAAAATACAGGGTGTTTTTTTTTAAAAAAACATAAGTTTGGTCTGCCACCATCTTATGGAACACCCTGTAGGATTGTAACTAATTTTAAAATATGGAGTTTTAAAGCTGCCTACAATTTTTGTTAATAACTTTTTTTTGTAATTTTTTACTATAACAGATCTACTGAGCTTCCTCACACTAATCAATCACCTGTAATATATACAGGTAGGTCCTTAAGTAATTGTACAAAAAGAACCCGTAGATTATACACTTTAAATATTACGATTTAAGGTCAAGTTGCTTTAATAAAATGTTGATATTAAGAAAGATACAGGGTGTTAAAGTGGAAATTTAAAATTTTATTTTTCGCTATAACTTTTATGTTTGTCAACATTTATGTATAAAAATTTACAACTGGGTACTATTAAATATCAGAAATTATAATTTGATGTATACTTTGATGTAGCTGATAGAGGGCGCCACATATGCCACATATGTGGCATACATTTGCACGTAACTTTTTTGCTCTTTAAGTTACCGATATTTTTAATAAAAAATATTAAAGATACGTTATTTTAACAAAAAAAAGGTATACTTGTTAATACCTTCAAAACTCAACAGTTTTCGAGATAATCGCAATTTAGAAATCAACTACATAATTCTGATTTATCGCAATTACTCCAGGCAACGAAAGAAAATTAAAGAAAAACATCAATACTTCTGAATTTTGGTATAAAATACCTTTAATAAAGTTAATAGTTAATGAATTATTAAATAAAATAAATATATCAGCAGAATAAAATAATAGGATTTGATAAATAACAGAATAATTGGATTTTACATCAAACATTTTACGTTTTGTATTAAATTAAAGTCATAATCAAAACATTTTATTTACAAACCAAATTAAGAAATAGTTAAAGTAAATAAAATTAAACTTTTTGTCAAAGTAAGTGTTCACTATGTCCATCATTTTCTTTAATTCATTTGTCAATACATTCCATAAAATATCGTCTCATATTAAATAGCGTCATTGGTTCTGAAGAAACTGCTGCAGTATTTATTATAAGTGTTATAAGTATAATAATAAATAATTTTTTGAAATGTTTATGAATTAAATAATTATATTAATATCTCACCACAAGAATATGACTACCATGAACAATCCAACGTTCAGGAAAGTTGTATTTAAATACTGTCTCACTCCGCTTTCTCTGTAATGTAATGGTTTACCATCTTGTAGAAACCACATATTTCGCCTTAAATTTGATGACAATTCTTTCAATATATCAATAAAATCATTTTATAAAAAATGTAAATAAATCTCGTTATTCAAATTGCAAGATAATTCGCATATCCGTAAAAAATAATTATCAATGGTTCCAAACCATAGGACATGCATTTTAAATATCAATTTTGAATGATGTTTTACGGATATGCGAATTACCTTTCAATTTGAATGGTGAGATTTATTTACATTCTTTACAAAATGATTTTATTGATTTATTGGAAGAATTGTCATCAAACTTAAGGCGAAATATGTGGTTTCTACAAGATGGTACACCATTACATTACAGAGAAAGCGGAGTGAGACAGTATTTAAATACTTCTTTAAACTTTCCTGAACGTTGGATTGTTCATGGTAGTCATATTCTTGTGGTGAGATATTAATATAATTATTTAATTCATAAACATTTCAAAAAATTACTTATTATTATACTTATAACACTTATAATAAATACTGCAGCAGTTTCTTTAGAACCAATGACGCTATTTAATATGAGACGATATTTTATGGAATGTATTGACAAATGAATTAAAGAAAATGGTGGACATAGTGAACACTTACTTTGACAAAAAGTTTAATGTTATTTAGTTTAACTATTTCTTAATTTGGTTTGTAAATAAAATGTTTTGATTATGACTTTAATTTAATACAAATTAAAATAAAATGTTTGATGTAAAATCCAATTATTCTGTTATTTTATCAAATCCTATTATTAATTATCCTGCTGATATATTTATTTTATTTAATATTTCGTTAATTATTGACTTTATTAAGGTATTTTATAACAAAATTCAGAAGTATTGATGTTTTTTATCTATTTTTCTTTCATTGCCTGGAGTAATTGCGTTAAATCAGAATTATGCAGTTGATTTGTAAAATGCGATTATCTCGAAAACTA